TGCTATGTGGGAAAGCGATGTGGGAAGTGGCCTGAGTAGGTAGCTTTGCCATCCGAGACCTACGAGTAGCCGATGCTGACGATTATCCACCAGACGGCCGATGGAGAAGAAACATCGACAGGGAAACGTGCATTAGAGTGGGTAAATAGGTTGAGGGGTTTTAGTGGACTTAGGAGTTTGGGTTACGGACTTAGGAGTTAAATGTTCTTGGTTGTTTTTCAGGATCTCGGGCAGGCCCCGAGTGTATTCTGTATTATTAGTAGACTGGGTCCTCGAGACATAAGCGAGGGATGTAAATACTGTGTCATTCACTGACTAGCCAAATCATCATCGGCGAAATCAGAGTCTTAACAATATAAATCGTTGATACGCGAGTTACAACTCTATTTGACTATACTTTTGAACTACTTTACTCTATCGTGACTTCGCACTCTACCTGAACTATTACGTCGAAGACGGTCGAATACCATCCGCCAACTCTAGTGAATCTTTGTTGATAACGTAGCTCACGGGGCCCGTATCGGATCAAGGAGAATCATACTCGACGTTGACTGAAGAGACCTTGGAGACTTCTACCTCTGTAGCTGTTAGCCGAACTCTGAGCTCTGCGTAGTGCACTCTTGTGGTCTGGTACGCATCCCTCACAGTAGCGGTGGTGTAACGGAGCCATTTCAACTGTCTGGTGTATGAGTACACACAGGGCCCGGTTACATGCTGAGAGTTATTGTTAAGAGCCAGTGGCACGGTGATATGCAAGTACCGGCAGTGTGGTTAGCTACCAGCTGTTAGAGTAACTACATTCCGGGCGCTAGGAAGGGGATCTATTCACGGGAGCAATGACTGACGAGTCTATGCCTCGCCAGTGACTAGAAGACCGGCCAGAGTGAAGCTCTGATTGTCCGGTGATCCTCTATATCCTCTGAGCATTGTATGACCGCCAAAGAGGCAGGGACTATGCTAGGGAAGTCTACAATAAGCAAAAGCTCTACAGCAATGATTAAGCTTACACCTGAGCGGCAGCTCATTCATGCAGGTCCTCGGTTGTGTGGCAACCAAGGCTGCAGGTGTTACGAAGGCTTTGACTAAGGGTGGTTGCCTTGGGTATTGGAAAACACCTGCTGACGCTTAGAGAAAAGCGGGGTAGCGGTGGTATTGTTTCCGGTACTGAGGAAAGGCCCACCGGAACTTAGTAAAGGAGTTAGGAGCAGAGAATAGAGGCCTTCGGAGTATAAGTACTCAGGTTCATTCTCGCCCTTCAGTCCTGTTCTCTCCAGTCTTCATCAGAAAGAAAAACCAAGTTCTTATCGGTAGCAGAGCCCTTAAAGATTATTGAGTTCTAGCGATAGTATCTTTGAATAATCTGCAACCTGATTGTCTATCTTGCACGGCCGTCTCTATTCTATCCGATTCTATTTCTCTTAGAAAGGACCCCCGTTACAGGTGGTATTGTTTTCCGAACCGAGGAAACACTTCACTGGAACTTAGTAAGGAGTTAGGAGCAGAGAACAGAAGCCTTTAGAGTATAAGTACTCAGGTTCATTTTCGCCCTTCAGTCCTGTTCTCTCCAGTCTTCACTATTAAGAAATATCAAGTTTTTATCGGTAGCAGAGCCTTAAAGATTATTGAGTTCTAGCGATAGTATCTTTGAATAATCTGCAACCTGATTGTCTATCTTGCATGCCCGTCTCTATTCTATCCTATTCTATTTCTCTTAGAAGAGACCCTCACTACACTAAGTTACTCCCCATTCATGAATGCATTCTCCCTTCCACGTTATTTCTTAAATGAGCCGCATTCATTACTAAGATATAATGGAGTCAAAGAAAAAAGCTTTTGTTCAATTTTTTCTTTTTATTTATTTTATTAATCCTGAGCTAGCCACAATTAGGAAATAATGGCCCGATTGAGAATAGTGTGGTGAATCGATTTTGTATATTGTTAGGGCCCGTTTGGGAGGCAAGACTGGAGAAAACGCCGTTTTGCTTAGCCCTCCGTTAGTGGGGAGGAAACGAAGAAATTTTAAAACGGACTTTTAAGCATGATGTGTACTGTTTGGGAGACTGTGGTGTTGATGGTTCAATGAGGTAAAATTGAGTGATGGCAAAAGAGTTTACAGTTGTGATAAGAAAAAGTAAGTCGGAGCCACTTTTTTAAAAACTCCATTTTCATAGGGTTAACCTTGTTTTCTAGACTCGCAAAATGGGCCGCCAAACACGACCAGTTTTCTCAGAACGGAGTTTTCACCAGAACGGAGTTTCAAGCCCCGATAACTCCGTTTTTGACCGCTCCCAAATGGGCCCTTAATGTAATCCGTAGTTTGTCAATTTCCAACAATCCGATTCATAAATACCTTATCAAAACAAACGTGAGGGAGGACCTTTACTCCCTGCCCTAAATAGCATGGGGATCAGCGTGAACTTAACATTTTCGAAGTGATTCACGAAATGTCACTCGCTCTTATGTCAGATCGGTACTTGAAACCTCAAAACTCTTCCGGTCACCCCCTGAAGTCTGGGATAGGTTCCTCTAGCCCCAGCCGCAGAAACCCGTCCAAGCTCCTCTAATTTTCCCATTCCTAAGTATGGCCATATGGGCTGTCAATGCCATAGCCAAAATCCTGACCAATAAGATCAGTAACTGATTTCTATACGCAAGGTGAGGCCGAACAAAGAAGCTTGAACAATCCTAGTGTGGTCCATGAGACGAGCTTTCGACTCATTCACAACGAGCCTTACTGCCCAGCGAGCCCGAGCCGGCTCATGAGGCTAATTTACTTATATTTTGATATGTCCCGAAGAGTTGTGGGAATTTTAAACATAGGCTTATCTTCCTGCGAAATCTAACCCTTCAAACTATAAATAATGGTTCCGTCGAGCTATTTTTCCTGCTCTATGATCTTGATCTTTATCAATTCCTGATCTTGGCAGAAGTGTTTCCTGTTATATAGATCATTAGCCACCGGCTCGATCCTTTTCACGAGCCTCTACCAAAAGCTCGAGCTAGCTCGAGCCTAGTAGTCAAAAGGCCGAGCCAGCTCGAGCCCACCGCCTGGCTAGACTCGTGCCTGCTCATGGACCACACTAAACTATCCCCTTGTTTTTCCGCGATAGCTGGTACAAAAGTCTTCTTTCCTCTGAGTAGCCCAGCGTTCGAACGATGATTGATGAGTACAGAAATTTCAAGCTGTAGTACATAACAACTACGGGCATGCTAAGCATGATCAGGAGTGCTAGCTTCATAAACTCTATTCCACTTGTAGAATAAACCCAACCCGAACCTCCCCAGGACCAGGACCAGGACCAGGACCAGGACCAGGACCTCAACGTTCTCAACCGTTGTTTAGAATCAACTTTAGAACTTATATCTATTCATTACCGCTCACTCATTGTGTCTGTTATGACCTGCATACCATCTACATCTCACTGGGCTATCTGTTTGGCTTCGAGTACTTCTGAGGAATTTCCGGCGTACGATGTACTATGTAGCCCTTCCTCCCATAAAAGCTGACGGTTTATATATCAGTAAAACTGAGACCTCCAAAGGACTCATCTCATGTACAACAGTATATACAGTACCAAAAAAGGTGATGTAATAGGTACTCTACCAATACAAAATTATACAAAACTTCCGAATTAAATCGGAACCCTAACTATTGTACCGTAGCACCGTAACCTTGTGGCATTCTGCCAGATATGGTACTGGATCCGCCGTCTTTTTTTTTTTGGTACTGTGTATACTTCACATATACCAGAATTAAATGTATACATACATACCCCATAATAGATCGTGTATGACATTCTTTGAGAACATCATACTTTTCAATATACATGTATTTACAATCCGGCATATCGAGTTGCCACATATGACATGACAATGACAGCCCGAGGCCATACGGGCGGAAGAGCAACCTTTTCAGAGCAAATGTACTCTATGTATGTAAGCTGAAGGGATGATATCAGCCGGGGGATTCTAATTCGTGTTTACTGCAAGGGCTAGCGCTCATGTCCTTACATGTAGCTTTTGTAAATATAAGGTACGTTCTCCATTTGTCAATATTAAGCGCCGCATCTCTGGATCTCGATCGCTGGAGGAGGCATGCTAGTGACTGGCGAACCTGGTAACAGTCTGCTGTGGAACATTCAATGTGGTCCTACAGGGCTCTTTCCCTCATCACTTACTCTAGTAAGTTAAGTACATGTGCGTATGTACTACATGTAGGTACTCTACCTCTTTCGAGCACGCTCTCCCACTCACTTCAAAAGTAGGCGCTGCACCAATCATTCGCGCTTATACTTTTTTCATGTATGCAGGTATCTGAAGATCTGCGACAAGGAGGGATAAATTGCGTATTCTCGCTCGTTTCTTCTATCAAATACTTACAGAACCTATTAAGACTCATCAACTCCCAGCAATTTAGAGTAGCAGGGCTCAAGATCTCCTTTCATTAATGCTTATTTCTCATCCGAACGCTCTCGTGATACATACCACACCACACACTTAAGTCCGCTTCAGCCCTTGTTGTCTTAGTCTATTCCCTACTGACTTGGTGATTCCCAACATTAAAGTTTCTGTCTTGGTTGCAGGGAAGGGAGTGACACAGGCATCCTTATCTGCAATGTCTTGCTTTTTCCTAGTTTCCAGCAATCAGAACTTGTTTGGGTTGGTCATTGCCGACCGACCGTACTGCATACCAGGATTCAGCTCGATTTGCTGCTACTCAGGCCCGAGACGGATCCTAAACTGGGAGAATTTTGAAGCTCTCGAAATCTACCATCCGTCTCATGAGCTGAAGGGGTACTATTGACCGAGACGCCTTGCAGGCATTATATCTGGCCAGCAAGTCCCAACCTACATATAAAATAAGACCCCGCTCGCACGATGTATTAATGAAAACTCCAAACATTTGGCCATATCCTCTACCATAATTCATTTCCCTGTTACCGTATTGTCATCATATATTTATCCCTAAGTCAAACTGTTATCTGCAAAGATATAGCAATATGCCTGTACTCGACCCCTTTGGCCACAAGGTTCCTAGCCGGAAACGAATAATAATCTGTTGTGATGGTATGTAAATGTAGTTGTCTAATGAGCTTATTAGTGCCCATGGTAATGTTAATCTTGTTCTCAAGGGACTTGGCAAAGCTCCGACGGGGGAGAGCCAAGTGTGCCCACCAATGTTACCAGGATCACAAGAGCGCTAAAAAGCTATACGAAAAAGGACGGTATATCTCAGATCGTTTATTACCAGAGCGGAGTTGGGACAGGCGGGACACTGAACAAGATACTTGGTGGTGAGTTTATTGATTTATATGCACCATGGCATCTATTAGTATTCGCTTTGCAGTACATTACCAGTTGTGATTTTATCCAATTGGCCTACCACTCCGCCTAAGCAATCCCTAGGCTTAATGAGCTATGATTTCTCTCTCCTCGGAATTTGACTGACTTGATTATCGATAGGGGGCACTGGTTATGGACTAGACGAACATGTTCGGGAAGCATATTGCTTTTTATCTCATAATTACCATCCGGGTGACTCAATTCACCTTTTTGGATTTTCTCGGGGCGCCTACACTGCTCGGTCAGTCTGCGGATTGATATGTACAGTCGGTGTCTTAACAAAGAAGGGAATGGATGAGTTCCACGATGTTTGGAGTAATTACACCAAAAGAAGATATAAGGAAGATCCTGGGTATTATCTCGAGACCTCAATGCCTTCGCTTCTATCCTACGCCAGACACTCTTAGTCTGCGCCAAGGATTTTAGTCTAAAAGTTGATTGGATGGTTACAAATTCTGACAATAACAGACTCCTCAAACAGCTTCAAGATATGGAAGATGGGAAGCTCGTAATCTCCGGTGTAAAGGTCAAATCCATTGGATGCTGGGATACAGTCGGATCGCTTGGAATTCCCAGTATACGCGTTCCCTTCCTCGGAGAACTAAGCATCGCTCGTGGAGAAAACAAAACGTATCTATATAGGTTCCTCCCACAATGGTCTTTGCTGGCTCCTGACAATTCGAATAGCTTCCACAACGTTGAACTTTCCGATGAAGTCGAAAATGCTTTTCATGCCTTAGCACTCGACGAGCATCGGGGTCCGTTTACCCCAACTCTTTGGAAAAAATCCCCTTTCTCGCCCACAAACTTAAAGCAAGTTTGGTTTCCAGGCGTGCACACAAATATCGGGGGTGGTTATGATGACCAGGAAATCGCCGATATAACGCTGGCCTGGATGATCCAACAACACCTACCCTTTTTAGAATTCAGCAAAGGATACTTGAAGAGCATAATCAAGAATCATGAAGATTATACTCGGGAATGGGCTGCTGGGTTAATATACGACTCTGCCACAGGAATGATGCGAGTTTTTAGTGGAAGCTATAGAACTCCTGGTGGATATGCTGATTCGAGTGAGGGTGTTGAAATGGAAGAGTTTATCCATAAGTCAGTAAGAATAAGGACAAAGATGATTGAAGGATGGGAATGCAAGGCACTTAAAGGCTGGGTGTGGAAAGAGGACGAAGGTCTGTGGGAAAGGGATGGTAAGAAACTCCTTGAAGATACCTTGGGGAATGTTGAGAAGAAGCTTGCCGGGAAGCATGTAGTAAAGAACATGTTGGGCGAGGTGATGCCCAAGGACGTCGAGTGGTAAATTTAAATGACTATTAGTTTAAATAACGCACCTTAGGGTATAACCATATTGAGTATGTAGATAATTGCGGTGGAAACTGATCTCTCCTACTGTCAAGTTCAGTCGCGACACTGAATGAATTAACGAAAAGATAAAAAAAGAAATTCAGTCGCGACTTAAATTCAGCTTCATAACACTATGTATGTATACGCTACCTGGCAATAGCCTCATGAGGCCAGGAATCCTATGTACTACCAAATCTACCAGATATGTTACTTAATATCGATTAAAGGGTAAACTCGAGCGGCATTTAAGGTGTGAATCTAATTTCAACAGCTATAGAATAATTCTACACCAATGACTAGAAATCAATATTCCAATAGAGAGAGATACGGTAGTAAAAATGGGGGAAATTCGCGTATATGAAAGTCATATTATAGGTATGTGATCTCATCAATCTATCTCTCATGGATGTGGTATACATCTCTGGCCCAGAAGGCGAGTTGGCTAATGGCCTTGAAATCTCGTTACATAGACCCCCTACTTACACAAACAGACGTTACTTCAGCGAGTAGAGAGTTGCCAGGCCACCGGCTCACAGTTACTCACTCGATGTTCAGTTTGGCTCGTGGCTTGGCTCACAGTTGCTCACTCGATCTTGAAATTTTTGTAAGCTTATTAATTTTATCTCGGGACTAGCTTGATTGATTGGTGGGTTATGTACTCATTACATGTAGCTCTCATCTGGTACTACTGTTTCGAGACCAGTGAGACGAGCGAGACGAGAACACACAATGTACAGTGGTAGGTAAAACATGTAAGTGATAGAACGGGCTGAGACACAGTGATACCTGTTTTGGGTAAACGCCACCAACATACGGTGTTTGCAGATAAGTGTATCTCGGGGCTTATTACCTGTCGCTGTACCAAAAAAGGGAATGTAATAGGTACTAACTGTACTACCAATACGGAATTTTGCAAAACCTCCGAATTAAATCGGAATCCTAACTACATATATTGCACTGTAATGTAATTTATCCCTTAGTCTGACGATACTAACACCCCTATAATAGAGGAATTAAATTTGTGTGGGAGATCTATTATGTGATAAGGGAGATAACATGATCTGTTAGTAAAGTCACACAAAAACCTTTTTGGGGGGGTCAGCATTTTTTGCCAGACGAAGAGATAACACCAAAATAGACTAGTGAGCTATACATCTTGTCATCACGAAAGGGTCTACTTGTCGGTTACATGTGATTTCAATAACTGTAAATTGATGGAGCGGCTCGAAGGGCTGCAGGTGTCAATGAACAATGACCATTTATCGAAGAGAAAACCGCTGTCGTCTATAAGTTAATCCTGTCCAAATATTCTAGAGCTTCATCTCTATCTCTTCTTCTACATATACATGTACTTTTCAACTATAGAACAAAAGTACCAGCTTCTAATCAAAACCTATCATCTCGTGCGAGCAAGGATGGGCCCAGCGTGCTGCGCAGCGGTGCACTGTTGACAATAAAGTATGTGTATATGTGCCTAATCTCGCTACCATCTCCTACCTTTGGCGTGGTTGGTTTAACGTTGTTGTTTTACTCGTTGTGTAGTCTACACCAGCATATATTATGGTGGACATCAACGAGCCACCACCGCCACCAAAAAATACCGAATGAGTCTGGGAATGAGACTACACGCAGTTAGTCTCACACTCATCCCCTACGAGTAGCTTGTTGCTCAGAGACTAGTGTGTACGTAGAACCCGAAAACGTGATGAAATAGTACTCTAATATTAGCGGTATTGGACGTCCCATGCAGCGAGTTCCGGGTATAGGGAAATATCTTATATCCATTCAGGCAATGACCCAATACTCCTCAATCCAAATCACATCTAGGAACATTCTTTATAAAATCAAACTGAACTACATATACAGCTAAAGGCAGCTCTCACTAGTAAATTATATGACCAGCGAGGATTCAACTCATCTATAACGTCCACAAATCGGTAAATTATAAATTTCACGAGTATATTCCAAACCGCAAACTCAGCTCGAGTATTGAAATTGAAGAGGAAAACTAAAGACGATTTGCAATTAGATTATTCATTGATAGATTGATTGATTCGTTAAACGCTCGAACTACAAGACATCTTTTATTGAAGTCTATCCCATGGCCTGGTAGAAATTTAAAATTCCGGGACTTCCTATTTCAGCAGGCCCTCCCAGTGGCAAAGTCACTGCTCCACACTGGTAGCGTGTGGATTGGTGTCAATAGTGCGTGGAGCAGTGACTTTGCCACTCGCTGAAATAGGAAGTCCCGGAATTTTAAATTACTACCAAACCATAGGATAGATCTAGATCTAGCTTAAAGTCTCGAGCTTAACTCATGAACCACATTACAGATATAAAGAATTGAAATTCTGCTTAAATAGTAGCATATGGTCGGGAACGGTCTTTTGTTTGCTAGTATTGAGAATATACTTGTATCGAGAACAAATTTTCCCGTGTAAACTCGTTCGGGGTTGACCAACTATATATATATATATGCTATTATTGAGAATGCTATTATCGGGACTCCATAGCATATTTCTTTCTATCGGGTGTGTGTGTGTGTGTGTGTATACAGTCTGTAAAATGTAGTATTTTCAAATTTGCGTCTCTACTAAACGTTGCGTCTCTAATCAAATATATACCTGAATATCTATGATATCCTTGAGACAGTGAGTTCTGCACCTATTTTGATGGCACCATGGAGCAAGCTACAATTCGTTGAAATATCTTGGTGTACTTCTGACTAATTAAAGAGAGGTCTATATTGTACTCCTAGAACTGTAAAGCTCCGTCGAGTCAAAAACATCAGACCTTTGTAATTGTAGCAGTAATGAAATGCTTTTCGGGCTATGACCATATTGAGATGGTGTATTATTTTCCCCCATGGTCTTCAATCGAGGCTCTATTTATAAGGTTTCCCTACTATATAAAACAAACAAACCTTTACACACAGACGTTACACGATATTTTTAATAGGTACTTAAGCTTAGCCAAAAATGACGGGTAAACATGCAGCAGGGCTTGATTAATGAATATTTCCATGGCCATTTAGCGGGTCATGGAGTAACAAATTTAAATTTTGAGAATTCTTCCCGATAAAGATAAAAGTCTTTCCTCGTCAATAAAGTAGGCCATAGGTTCCAGTGCTAACACTATGTATGTACAGGGTGTTAGAAATTAGTGCATATTTTTAAACTAACAACGTCTAAATACCCCAATTGCGACAACACACTCCTTAAGTACGCAAAACCTCTATAGAATACCTAATCGGTATTTGAATGTAAATTATATTCGTTTCAAGCTAGGGGCCATGGCCATTATTAGATGGCAAATATGCAAAACTTGATCAGGTGTTCCAGGTGCGAGTGATATATTATGATTAAAAATAATTCCAACCCACAACGCCAATCCAAAAGCTCTCATGGACTCAACACAAACTCCATACTCAATCTATCAGATATCTAATACCAAGTACTATAATTGTCCCTTTGAGACAGCATATACCTCTCCATGCTGCATCCGGACATGAAAATATCAGACGAAACCCTCTTTTCCCCGTTCCAAACGTATACCCAAACCCGCCCTAATCCTTATCCCTTATCATTATTATTATCAGATCACGTCTCCAACACCCTCTCCACCATCTCATCATTGGCTCGGGCGCGGTGGGCCGCCGCACTTACTATAGTATCAATCTTGTGGCTCCGCGGGCCTCTTCCAGCCAAAAATAAAAAATAAAAAAAAGAATACCGGGCAACTAACGTCCTGCCTACCTTCAAGCTCATCTCAAGTACGTATACGCACTTAACGTAGGTACGCAGATAGCATCAATACACACAGTACAGTAACATTTTCCTTTTACCTGGTTTCCAGCACCCGTACCGTGGGAACAAATTTTCTCGTAGTTTCAGGACGCCGGGCAACGGTGGATTCCTGCAATCATGATTTTTGCACAGATTATCACTCGGCCTGAAATTCGCGCGAGGTATTTTTTACTTATCGAGATGAAGCGAATACATACGACCCCATCGTTCGTTTATTTTTCTCACTCTCCCGCGTTTGCCCACGAGTATCGATGGATCCGATACCTACCCCCCGGCGAGTGATCCGTCATGAGTCCCTTTCTCCCCTCCCTCTCCCCTCAGCGCAGCACATCGATATCCCCAGCCCACCAGCGTCCCCTCTTCCTTCCCCTCACTCTATCACTCACCTATTCACCTAGTCACCCATCGTACCCAGCCAGCCTCACCGCATCGACCGACGGCAAACATCACCTCACCTCCCCCACCAGTCCCTCGGCCCTGATAAACCACATCTACAAATAGGCAAAATACCTTTTTCCTGCCTCCTCCTCCTCCTCACATACGATGAGCTTCGCGCCGCGGCGCGGTAGTATGTAGGTATGGAACTATCCGGTCACAAGTTCAGCGCACCAGTGCAGTAGCTCGCTCACCCGGTTCGGTTTTCGGGGTCCGGCATACCATACAGACTCTACCTCAATAGGTATGTAGCATAGGGTAGAGCCTTTTTTTTTTTTTTTTTTTTTTTTGCACGCCGTCGTCAGCGCCCCAATCATTTGCTGGAATACATAGAGCAGAGTGGCTAGCTAGGCAGGAAACCAAAAAAAGCAACCAAACCACCACCCCCTGGATGGTTCCATTGGTCACCGTTTGACAGTGGTAGCGGTGATCGATGCACATGTTTCGAGAGGGAGTGGTGGGGAGGGCCCGGGATAGCGGGAAACAAAAGGAATATGTGCAAGTATGTAGGTAGACATTTCGACATCTCAACATTTCGGCAGCAGTCAGACAGGTAGGGAGAGAGTACTGTCTAGACTCTAGAGTGCGATATATCGTTTTCATGTGAAAAGCAACACAACAGATATCGTTCTTTGCTTTCTTTTGCAAGTCGTCGTCGTCGCAGCCTGAGAGTATCAAACATCTCTTCCAGCTATCCCGCCCACGTACTCTACCCCCATCTTCTATCTACATAGTCGATTGCGCATCGACATACAATTCACTTCACTTCACCACACTTCTCCCAGAGCACTCTCCCACATCTGACATCTCCCCTCCCCCTCCCCAATCATTGAACTAGTCCCTATCCGTCCTACTATATATATCCCCCCCTCGAAACGAAACAAAAGTAAAGTACTCTACCATCGGCGCACACTCTGAGCTCCTCCTTCCTCCTCCTAACCGAACCGATTGACATGTACGATGGATGATGAATGGTAGCACATACATGACCGACAGCCTACCTACTCACACACAGGCCCCGGCACGACACGGACGGGGGCCGCCAATGAGTTGTCGGTTACACAGCGAGGGCGATCTCCATAATTATCTACTTGTACCTACGGTTGCACATCACATCGAGATATCAAATCAAACACCAGCAGGGAGATAGGTAGCAGTTAGAGAATCTGTAGAGAGTACATAACCTGTAGTCACAACGGCGCCTTGGTTCCCATCGATGGCCGTAAACTAAACCCCACGATGATGGTCAGGGGGCCAACTACTCTACCTAGCTGGGTTACGTACAGAGCATGTAGAGCAAAGTATAACTAAACCCCAACAAGCAATAGAGTTACCCATCGTTATCACCCAAGTCTGTAAAGTATCGCCAACCCTACATCCTCCTCCTGATAGGCAGCACCGGCGCGGCGGCGGGCGGGGCGATCAACAGGGCGAGCAGAGCAGGGAACAAAAAAAAAAGTCTTCACCGACAAGTTTTGACGTTAAAAAAACTCTTTTACCGGAACGGAGGAAACTTCTCTTTTTTTCACCCTTCCCACTATCACCTCTATCACTCTCGCTAGATCCCGTCTCACCAAGAACCCGGGACGCGCCTCAACTAGAGTTAGCACCCCCTCCCCCAGTAACAGCCAACGATGCGTTGTCTCGAATCAGCTCCCGCCTTTAGGTAGGTAGTATTTTACCAGCGCATTTTTTTTTTTACATGGAGCAACAGCAGCCCTCTAGTGGCATTCCCGGGTTGCGGGGAGGAGGAAGGGAGCGGCGAGGGAGGAACAAGGGGCAATTGATGCTCTAGAGCAAAAGAGAGTGAGAGAGGAGGGATTCTCCCCTCTCTTCCGCTATCAAAACCATCAATCATCCCGGGCCACCATGGGGGGTTGTTCGTAGTCTCGTCTACTGTGCGGACCGCCCAGCTGCGCTAACCAAATGTAGGTTGAAAGACTATTTAGCCAGTGAGGCGGATTACATAATATGTATGAAGACGTGGTTCATCTTATGGCGAGTAACAACCTGCATCTACATTAAATAAGACAGGCGAAGAAAACCCGATGATAGCAACCCTAAAAGAGGGGGCTGGCTCTCGGTGATGGGGAGAATTAGAAGGACTCGAGGAAATTCAGGGGAGAGGAGAGAAAAAAAATTCGAAAATACCGCCTTACTGCATGTATGTCCATCGACTCTGTCCAGGCCCATGGTACTACTAAGGTATCACTATCACCCTCTCCATGTAACCCTGAGGATATGTCAACATATGAGAAATACTTTCCTACCGCGGCGGCGGAGATGTGTAGAATGCAATTACTTGGCGTGCAAACAGTGGTAATGATGCAGCAGCATGCTTGAGTTTCTACTCCAGTTTCCTAAAACGAATCTCGGCAGTCCTTAGCCTCGTTTCCAGGCTGTATTACGTAATAGTAACAAGGTCAGGGTAATGTTATTACAGCCACACATCCAGCCACATCATGATATATCACGTCAAACCTTCATACAGCCTGGTGAATTTGATCCTCACCACATACACCTACCACTGCCACATCGTATACTCTGCCCCTAAACCCCCAATTCAATTCCTAGTGCACCATTTTCCACGCGCAAGGTATTCTACACGCACGGCGTACCCTACGCGTACCCATATTCTTGTATGTATGTCTACATTCCTGCGCTCATGTTTGCCCGCGCATCTGTGTCACTGCGCTCCTTTTTCCCCGCGCATCTGTATCATTGCGCCCCTGTTTCACTGCGCACCTCTATCCTTGCGCTACCCGCTCTCCTGTTTGGCTGCGTACTTCTATTCTTGCGCTCCTTTTTGCCCGCGCATCTCTATCCCCGCGCGAGTACACGGGCGTGAGGATCCCCGCGCGAGTACACGGGCGTGAGGATCCCCGCGCGAGTACACGGGCGTGAGGATCCCCGCGCGAGTACACGGGCGTGAGGATCCCCGCGCGGGTACACGGGCGTGAGGATCCCCGTGCACCTTTTATATTTTCCTGCGCAAGGATAATCACGCGTACTCATATACTAGTGTGCGTGAAAAAACACTGCACCTCACATAGATATATATCCATACTAATATCTTGCTTGCCCTTTAGCTCGCAATTAAAGCCGTACACCAAACATGGCAGGGCCAGCTCGCAAGCGCACCCATACTCCTGGCCCCACGACGCCCCCCCCCCCCAAAGCGCTCACGCAATGCCCGAGTGGAGGAAACCCCAGATCCAAACTCCACCCAGGAGCCAGACCCCAAAAAGAAAAAGCAGCCTGCTTCAAAACCTACCATTAAGCCTGATTACGCACCCAATCATCTCCGCAAGTTCATGCAAAGCTCTAAGGTTTGACCCCCCCCCCCCCGCGCCCTACAGATATTCCCACGCGCTGCCTACTAACCTTCAATAGTCGATTGAAGAATGGAGCGTGCGCGTGCCGCTTTACTGGGCCCAAGTATTTTTCGTGCGCGCCGGGTTTCTTCAAGCCCCTATACGCGCCCTCTTTAAGCAACTCTTGCCCGCCGAAGAGTTGTTTGCCAAAGCCGAACTTGATCTTCTTGGCGACTTCCAGGCTGCGCACGATAAGGTTTTAAACCATCTGGTCAAAAAGGTCAAGCAATACGCCCAAATCTTCCAGGAAAGCCCCCTCCTGGAACACTATCTTAAACGACGGTCCCTTGCAGAAACTGCGCATAGGGTTCGCCCCTCCCCACCTTTGGCGGACGTTACCGCTTTTGGGATGACGGAGCTCATTGAAATCCACACGCCCCTACTGATAGGCGTGCCCACGGTGAAAGCTCCGCCTAGCCATATTGGCTGGCTCGAAGATGATACGGATGAATACTGGGAAAAGACCCTGCGCGATAGATTTTGCGTCGCTGTGGGCAAAGCTCTCCATCAGTGCGGCACAGACCCCATCAGCGACCTGGGCGATAATTACATAGCGACTATCTTCAAGGACATAACCCCTGCCACCAATTCCCCCCTTATATGGCCTCCGCCAATTACCTCCACCCCCATCAAAGACCGTCCACCCGCCTTACTACTGCCATATTGCCCCACGGAGAATTCATCGCAAAATAGCGGCTACACGCCAGTTCTCCCCACTCCCCCATCGCCGCCACATGGAGGTTTACTCTCCGACTTTGACGACCCTAACTTTGACTTCACTGGCATCGTGAAAGATGCGGAGAATGCTGTTTCGAGTACCAACCTGTAACGGAGCCATTTCAACTGTCTGGTGTATGAGTACACACAGGGCCCGGTTACATGCTGAGAGTTATTGTTAGAAGCCAGTTGCACGGTGATATGCAAGTACCGGCAGTGTGGTTAGCTACCAGCTGTTAGAGTAACTACATTCCGGGCGCTAGGAAGAGGATCTATTCATGGGAGCAATGACTGACGAGTCTATGCCTCGCCAGTGACTAGAAGACCGGCCAGAGTGAAGCTCTGATTGACCGGTGATCCTCTGTATCCTCGGTGCATTGTAAGTCCGCCGAAGGGCAGGGACTATGCTAGGGAAGTCTACAATAAGCGAAAGCTCTACAGCAATGATTAAGCTTACACCTGAGCGGCAGCTCATTCATGCAGGTCCTCAGTTGTGTGGCAACCAAGGCTGCAGGTGTTACAAAGGCTTTGACTAAGGGTGGTTGCCTTGGGTATCGGAAACACCTGCTGACGCTTAGAGAAAAGCGGGGTAGCGGTGGTATTGTTTCCGGTACTGAGGGAAGGCCCACCGGAACTTAGTAAAGGAGTTAGGAGCAGAGAACAGAGGCCTTCGGAGTATAAGTACTCAGGTTCATTCCCGCCCTTCAGTCCTATTCTCTCCAGTCTTCATCAGAAAGAAAAACCAAGTTCTTATCGGTAGCAGAGCCCTTAAAGATTATTGAGTTCTAGCGATAGTATCTTTGAATAATCTGCAACCTGATTGTCTATCTTGCACGGCCGTCTCTATTCTATCTTATTCTATTTCTCTTAGAAGAGACCCCCGTTACACAACCAACAGATCGCAGAGGATGTAAGCAAGTTCCGGGCTTTGCGCGCTAAATCTGCGGACCTAGTGGACGCAGATATATTTGCGCGCCCAGGAAATCTTGACTCCGCCTGTGATTACAATGAAGAAACTCCACTCTCCAATACCCTCGCCAAGATATACGCGCGCTCCAATATTTACATGAAGCATGAAATTCATCAGCGGGTAATCCTCGACGAGTGCAACCGCATGGATACTATCGCCTACGCTGCCCTACGCCGTAAGGAATACCTGCTCACTGCTACTCGTAAACAGCACGCTCTTATTGAGCAGTACAAAAGAAAAAGAGACAAGCTCTGTGAGCTGTACGGAGAAGAACCATCGCTCCTCGAAAATTTGTCTAACGCAACGCAAGCCATGGAAACTGAGAGAGCATATACTACGCGCGCGCGCGATCAGTCCAAACAGCCAGCGCAACAGATGCAGCATCACTCCAACCCCTCATGGCAAAACCACCCCGCCGAAGCTCCTGGCACCGCGCAACAAGCAATGTCGCCCACCAGCGCCTTCTTCGGCATTCCTCCTGCGCGCCTACCCACCGAGCATATTTTTAAATCGCGCAAGGTAGCAAAAGCCCCGCCCGCAGAATCCCACGTGAGCTCGAGAGGTGACATGGGCTCCCGATATCACCACACGGCGAACCCTTCTGCACCCCTTAAAACCATGAGAATAACCCCCGAGCGTAAAACGAGTGAGCACGCGCCGTCACCGCTATCTACGCAAATGGATCCTCAATCGCCCCGCGAAAACATCACGCGCGCGGGGTCGAGATATTGGCCCCCTAATATGACCACTGCGTTTCGTGAGCCTTCCAGTGAAGCTTGTAGTGTCATTGACCTTGAAGCCGAGGATGTTGTCGATTCTGGAGCGCCCCTCCCTACCCCCGCGCCCCTCTCTACCCCCGCGCCCCAGACTCCCCGCTATGGCCCTAGACCGCAGAGCCAGGGCTTCGAGGATAGGCATAAAGGGCTCTATACAAGGCAAACCTCCAGCAGGGCGGTTTTCCCACCTAAGCTTGAAGTGATAAATGAGAATGAGGCAGGCTCCTCCCCCACCGTCCCCGATACCCCCCAGCACGAGGACGTCAATACCGATGCGCGGCGCCCCACCCGAGGCTCAGCAGAAATATCACAGAAGACGACAGATGTCGGCAATTGGGTGAATGCAATCCCCTCGGACGGAGATGTAGAAGGGGGGGCAGAAAGTCTAGAAGGGGGGGCAGACAATCTAGAAGGCGGGGCAGAAAATCTGCCAAAGCAGGATTCTTGATTTTGGTGCGAGCTCCATTTCTCGCGCCAACCAGGCCGTGTCTTTAAAGGGTTTCTTTTATACTAACCTGTGTGCGCTCTCTATTTCTTATAGCTTACCTGTGGTAGATGCGCGGGGTATCATTCTTTCTTGTTCCTGGTGGTGCGCACTGTATTTCTTGCGCGGGGGTATCATTCTTTCTTGTTCCTGGAGGTGCGCGCTGTATCTCTTGCGCGGGGGGTATTCATTCTTGTTCCTGGCGGTGCGCGCTGTATCACTTGCGCGGGGGGTATTCATTCTTGTTCCTGGCGGTGCGCGCTGTATCTCTTGCGCGGGGGGTATTCATTCTTGTTCCTGGCGGTGCGCGCTGTATTTCTTGCGCGGGGGTATCATTCTTTCTTGTTCCTGGCGGTGCGCACTGTATTTCTTATAGCTTACCTGTATTTCTTGCGCGGGGGTATTCATTCTTGTTCCTGGTGGTGCGCGCTGTATCTCTTGCGCGGGGGGTATTCATTCTTGTTCCTGGCGGTGCGCGCTGTATTTCTTGCGCGGGGGTATCATTCTTTCTTGTTCCTGGCGGTGCGCACTGTATTTCTTATAGCTTACCTGTATTTCTTGCGCGGGAGGTATTCATTCTTGTTCCTGGTGGTGCGCGCTGTATCTCTTGCGCGGGGGGTATTCATTCTTGTTCCTGGCGGTGCGCGCTGTATCTCGTGCGCGGGGGGTATTATTCTTGTTCTTGGCGGTGCGCGCTGTATCACTTGCGCGGGGGGTATTCATTCTTGTTCTTGGCGGTGCGCGGGGTAACCATGTGCTCCACTGTATCTACTACGTAGTTAGTTTTCAGGCACCAATTATCGTCACATCGCCCCAACCTCCTGTGCCAAAGAGTTCTGAAGATGGAGAGTAAAAAGTGGTTAGATTCCGCCGATGTCGACCCAAATCATTTACGAGCACACTATATCTTGCGCGCGCTCAACGTTGCCCGTGCAATGTACAGCATCAAGCTCCATGATTGGCAAGCTGCCGCCATCGCCGACGTATTGATGCACCGGGACGTCGTTGTCAGTGCCGGAACGGGCTCAGGGAAGAGCATTATCTTCCAGACGTTGCCATATACTGTGCAAAATGGAATTATCCTAGTGGTATCTCCACTGCTGAGCATAATGTACGACCAGGCAAGTAATCATGTGAACCTACACGGCATACTAGTAGCGCGCGCGCATACATGTACGTATAACTGACCAAACATAGGTAGCGTGGCTTCAATCCAATCAAATAGGTGCTATCGCTCTTACCGCGACGGAGATTCAAGCGCGCCCCCAAGCATTGCGTGAGGTCGCTGAGGGCAAATATCGTCTCGTATATGCATCCCCAGAGGTCCTCCTTACCTCTGGGTCGTATTTCTGGGTGCACATACTGAGAAAGCCCTGCGCGTTCAGAGATAACCTCCTTGCAATAGCCGTGGACGAAGCTCATGTGGTGTGGGGATATCGAACATTCCGCCAAGAGTATAGCAACCTCTCCGATTTCCGCGCGCACCTACGCAGCATTCCCATCATTGCACTGTCCGCGACACTTGCACCCAACGTATTGGGCTATATCCATAAGGTTTTACTGCTTGCGTCGCCGACTATAATATACAGGCGGCCAATCGGCCGTGCCAATATTACCCTCGCGGTTATACCTATTAGACAAGCATTACTAGCTGCGCTACATGAACTTGACTTTCTTATAGACAGACAGGTGGTTATTGGCTCTATGATTCCAAAGGCATTCGTATTTGTGGACAACGTTGATAGCGCGCATACAATTGCGCGCTATTTACGAAACCTCTTGCATCCCTCGATATCTGCGCGCGCCAAAGATCTTATAAAGGTCATGAGTGCATCCCTTGAGCCAGACACCCGTGCACAATACATGAGAGGTGTGAAGGATGGCTTGCACCGTATATTTGTTGGCACAGAGGTGTTTGCTATGGGTATCAACTTTCCAGACATCGATGTCATCGTGCAGTGGGGAATAATGCCACATCTTACCCTCGCTGCAGTATGGCAGCGCATTGGTCGCGCGGCGAGGGATTCAACGCGCCATGCGGTGGCATGCATATTTGTTCAGGAACGTTATTTTCTGCCGGAGGAAAACGACCGCCCAGGGAATGAAGGGGGCTTCTACTTTGGATGGCGCCGCGCGGCTGACCCCGCGCGAAGGCAATCCATGGAGGAGTTTCTTAGGGGTCTATACAGCGCACTCGCGGCGGATGTGCGTTGTGTGCTGGATAATATTGACCCTGCACTAGTATGGTTTCTGAACACCGCGGGGTGCCGTTGGCGTGCTGGTATTTGCGCGTTTGGGGACCCCTCCTGGATATCGGGCGTCGGTATTCCCGTGCCTCCAACGAGTGCGACGGCGTCTACTTGTTGCGATAATTGTTTCTTCAATAATGCAATAGAATGGGGGGACGTGGATTTTTTGATAGGGCCTGTGGATATTCGGCGCTCAATACGCTATACATATACTACAGAGTACCACAAGACCCAGTATTGTGTGCTATTCGAGAAGAATATGGACGTAGTAGTGGCAAAGAGCAATGCGCCCTCCAAATCTGGGATGGTATTGGCGCGTGAGAAGCTTATAGAATGGCGCGCAACGGAATACAACGCCTGGGTGCGCGGGTTATACCCTTCCTTGATGCCTACGGATTTCATGAGCGAGGCTGCCATCGCCAAAATTACAGGGGAGCTATTCACTATTAACAGCCCAGAATCCTTGGCCGAGGTACTGTCGCCTGAAGTGCATCTGGAATACTCTGTCCTCCAGGCCTCCACACAGTCGTTGCTATCACTCATCGACAGTATCAAGATGGTGATTTCCCCGCGAAGACGTGAGCGAGCACCGCCACGGCCCCGAATGTATGATTTCAGTTTTGTTCAAGTGGATCCCGGAAACCCCGCGCAGGCGCCACTACTAGAGATTCAGCGTGCCATCGCAGCTACAGACAAAGCTAAAGAACAGCGCGCGGTGCAAAAGAGGACTATTCTGGCGGCACGGAAGACACAGGAACAAGTTGAATCAAAGGCAATAGCAAGCTGGAACGAGAAAGCAAAGGGATTAAATCTGCCACTAAAGCCTCGGGGAGGGCTGCGCGCGGGTAAAGTCAGGGCCGCTGCTTCAGTACGCACGGGCAGGAAAGAGTGATTTGATAAATATATATTAAGCCTATTGATTTATTCCCCAATTCAATATATTTACGCGCAAATATGCACACGCAAATGTGTGTCCCTAGCATATACAGCGCGCAAGAACAGCGCGCATAAATATCCGCGCTCTTTCTCAAAGGTCGAGGCATCCAAGAAATGCCAGAATTTTTCGTCTGCGCGACGTAGGATTATTCGCACTCGCATAATTGAGCCAAGGTATATGAGTCAATCCATAATGTGCTGAGACGGTGCCCATTTGCTGGGGAGTCATGGCTAGCAACTCCTCGTGGTTGCGCGGGAATGTAGCCCCTGGGCTAGAGCCATCTACATGTCGCATGGGTATCCAAACCTCCCGTGATCCGCTCATATATATTGCGCGGTTGATTCGCCGCGTCTCCGCATTGAACAGATGGGCTCTAATCTCGATCAATTGGTTGAGTATCTGGCGCCCAGTATTGAGCGCTGCCTGACCGACTGCAAAATCCACATCGACCGGATGCTGTATAGGATGATTTAGATTGGCTGCCATAATTTGTCCACTGCTACATGTCGGGCATTGGTCCAGTTTGTCCCTCGAGTATGCGCTCAAGTCTGGGATTTATAAGAAACAGTCTACATAGTCTAACAAAGAAATCCTGCGCACAGAGAAGCCCGCGCGCAGGGACAAAGAAACTTGCGCGCAAAGAAACCTGCGCGTAAGGACAAAGAAACCTGCGCGTAGGGACAAAGAAACTTGCGCGCAGGGACAAAGAACTAAACCATCAGACAAAGAAACCAGCGTACAATGTGTCAGAGGAGATCGTCTAGCCCGGCTTCTGGGCCAAGTATATCAGTATCAAAATCTTCTTCGGTTTCGAGATCCAGCGATGACGTGTTTGATGAGGACTTTCCAGGGTGCCAGCTGAATCGTGCACGCTGCATATATTCGCGCAGTGGCACCCCAGTTGCGAGGCGCGCTATTCCCGCGCCCATCAAATCTGTTGCCTCCCAGTGCGGTTGTTCCTTCACACTATCCAGCGCGCGGGGGATCGAGTCTCTGCATATGGCTTCATCGAGGAGTACGCGCACAATATTCGCCACATCAGTTGAGCTGCGTACCAAGGATGAGTGCGTCCCATAGCTGTGCGCACGCGATTCTCGCTCCATAGAAACCTTACTGGCGTGTAGCGACATCACTTGGCGAGATATTGTTTCTCTAAGGTGTTGGTCCGAGTGAATATTGCTGCTTGGGTGGATCCTAGCCTTGATCTCACGCACAACATACTCACCAAATAGGTCGTCGGGCACCCATGCCCCCCTGCGCCCAGAGGGATTAACCAGGCAGTTGTGGCGCCATATATTTCTCATCTCTGGGGACCATATTTTCTCCATGCAAGCAATCAAATGAATAACCTCGCGCGGGTAATTGATATTTTGGGTACCATGTAATTGCGTGGTCCAGAGGCGAATGATGTGCTCCAGGCGCCCGGGATCCCCCGCGCATACCGCCGCACCGTAGTCAGCGTACACCAATCCTTGCTGCAGTAGTAAAATCGCATTTTCATATAGAATATCTCTGGATTGGTGCGGAACAGGAATGCCGCGCTCACAGAAACGCCTGCGCTTGACGACGGATAGTCCCCCGCATACTGGGAATATAGCATCAACCATATCCTCTATTACAAGACGCCAGTTGGCTGCGCGGAGGCGGTGATTGAACAACTCGACGGTGTCGGCGTTGAGAGTTTCGGCAGCAAGAGATATTACATGCGCTTCAAGTATTTGTTGAAAGAATTGATCGTATGCGCGGAAATCCTTGGGTTTAGGTGTGTTTATCGCGGGCTTTCGAAGTAATTTAACAAACCGGAGGATACTAGTGGGCTCTCGACCATCATTCCCCCAGTGCGCCTTAAATATAGTGCCCAGCATACACATTTGCAGATGAAAGAGACCAATTACGGGCTCCACGTATTCCATTTGGTGCGCAGGTTGATCTTCCTGCCTGCGAAAAACAGCCTTCCTAGCGGAAGTTAGCTTAGGGAATGCAGAGTTGTGCCAAGTACGCACGTACAGTATATTTCTCACGGTCATATAATCGCCCTTGAAGAGGATCAGTTTGTCCATAAGCTGGTGGGCGGTGATATCAAGCTCCTGTAGAATTGATTTTATGATGTCGATAACCTCGCTGATTATGGCCTCATTCTTATGGAAGGTGGGCATCGTGTGAAGGTCAGATTTTTTCAAGGGCAATGGAAACAGTGCGGGGGCAATGAATGGTTCGTAACCTGGCTTGATGATAGTGCCATCTTTTCCTCTGCGCTGCATATTGAGCTCTATAGCACCATGCGCATGTTTGTGGAGTATATTCCATATGTTGGCCTTCGCGGCGTCGCGCGTGTATTGGAAGGTTGTTGAGTCCACCATTACGTCGCGCGCAGATATCAATCGGGCACTATCACGGTTGAGCATTTCAGCGCGAGGGAGGAACCCAGCGCGCGGGGTGCCCTGCAGGAATGCAATATACCCCGCAGTGTAGTGTTGTTGATATTGACGATTACCAGTAGTATGAGTCTTTACCCTTTGGTAGAAAACCATGTTGTCGAAGGAAACAAAGAACGGGTGGGCAGCAGCCTTGATGCGTAGCATATCACGCAGGGCAGAGGCATTAGCACGCAGTGCGTGGTTTACAGCCTCATAAGTGACAGAGATTCCCAGGCAGTGGAGGACCTCTATCACTCGTTTACCGGCGCCGGAGGCGTTCAAATAATAGCCCACCATGCCCTGAAGAGAATTGGCGCGTTGTGAGCGCCCATAAGCTGCAATGCTGATGGCAACTGTAGAGACAATATCATAACGCTTGGTGGGCGCAGGTTTCTGCGTACTAGTCGTACCGACTCCCAGCTCTATGAATGAAGGGAGATCTTCTGAGTCTTCTTGGTGGGGTTGATAATGATTGCCCAGCGGGGAGGCGGGGTCTTGAGCGTGCGCGGGGTCTTGAGCGTGCGCGGGGTCTTGAGCGTGCGCGGGGTCTTGAGCGCGGGGAGGGTGTTGAGCGCGCGCGGGGTCTTGAGTGCGCGCGGGGTCTTGAGCGCTAGGCGCTATTATTGCATCAACGAGCCTTTTGACTGTGGGAGCGAAGCTGTTTTGCGCTACTGCAATATCAGAGAGTGAAAATCCGCTGATGTATTCATGGGTAAATTGATTCATCTTTTTGCGCATGTGCGGTGCAGCTATAAGGGCGCTCATTTCGCTGTGCACAAGGTTCTCGACGATATCCACACATGCATTACGCAAATCAATATCCTTTGCGAGGGTGTTGATGGAATTAGAAGAGTGTACGAGCGCAGCACATAAAAGCTTGCCCATGCTACCGCGCTGCAAGTAAGCTTTGGAACGCGCGAGCACGGATGGATCTGTACACTGAAGTTCTGCTAATAGGCAATTGGGGATATCATCGAAACCATACTGTCGCACCATATTCCGCGCAGCAGATAAGCGTTGAGCTAGGGTAGGAGGCGGAGGCGGCGAGGTATAATTACTGTGCATAGGTGACTGTTGAGTGGTTGAGCTGGCGGATATAGGATAGTGCGAAGGAATGAATGGGCGCCCGGAGGCGGCCCTCCGTACTGAACGTCGGGCTGGCATATATGTAGGCCACCTAGGCGACTTACTCGGTGATTTGGGTGCGCAGCGAGCTGGGTGCAGTGGTGATTTGGGTGCGCAGCGAGCTGGGTGCAGTGGTGATTTGGGTGCGCAGCGAGCTGGGTGCAGTGGGGATTTGGCTGCGCGGATGGTTGCTTGCGCTGCGCGGATGGGTTGCCTGCGCTGCGCGGATGGGTTGCCTGCGCTGCGCGGGTGGTGGCTCGCGCAGTGCGCGGGGTATTGCTCGCACGACAAATTGGGTGATTTGGGTGCGCAGCGAGCTGGGTACAGCGGGGATTTGGCTGCGCTGTATATTCAGCGCGATCCAGTCATTTTGGAGGAGGTTTTGGGGGGTAAAAAATATACGGTGTAGGCATGGCAGCAAATTCACCAGGCTCAGAAGTGGTGATAGAAATTTGATGTCAAAATAGGACTAGCGGGCATTATCAGCCACACGAAATAAATCACACCACCTGAGCCTGGGACCGAGGCTAGGCAGTCCTTCCCCTCCCCAGAAGTTGCTCTTGCTTACCAAGAAGTCACGATTGTATTTCGTTTTATCTCGATTACCCATGTCCACGATACGATTACTTAGGCTTCAACACTACGATGTCATGCAGAACTCGTAGGACCCCCAAAAGCATCTACCTACGTACTTCCTCATGTAACTCGTTGCTTTGAGGCGGAAGAGGGGTGAGAGAGGGGAAAATCCAAAATCTCACGATCATTTTCGCGGCACTGGTACGACTATCAAACGCAGTCTGAAAACGGGTACACGGCGTTGCCTTGCGGGGTTGGAAAATTCGGGAACTGCTTTCCCAACACGAATTGATTTAGCAGGTTTACACACAGCTAAGCAAACGGGTTTGAGCGAATAGCACGAGTGCATAGCCTGTTTGTCTCTCTACAACTCTGCTGTAGAGTACCTATGAAGGAGAGAAGAGAAAGCAAAGGTGGGGGGAGGGGAGACAGACAGCACCCAATCCCCTGATATTGAGATGGTGATGATGGCGGGGAATGGCGATGCTGATGATGTTGAGGTTCCGGAAACCTGCGCGCACGGGTTGGGTTGGTCGACGCTGAGGGTCCTCCCAGGGCCAGGGGGAGCAGGGCTTATGGCTGCTGCGGATATGGATGGATCGCCACCATCAAGAAATCTACAAATAACGAGTGGATATGTGGGGATATGACTGGCGCTAGAATCCCGAACTCGGTTGGGTGGAGCGAGTTATGATAGAGAATTGCCACCATGCTTCAATCGAATTAAGATTTCAACACCGGCACGCATTGGGTCGATTCTGCCTGCAGTGCGGGAGCAGCACAACCCACCCCACCTTGCTTCGAAATCCTTATTTCTACACGTATCCCAGCCAAACAATAGGCGAGCCGCTCTTAGGGGAAACTGGCGGTAGTGGTGATAGTCGTGACTTCCTATGATCGAACGAACCCCATTCTCCTGCCGCTGGAATCCAATGACTGACAAATTAACGCATTTCCGTTAATGAAATAAGGTACTGTACCCTCAAGTGCCTCTTTTCCTCGTCGTGTCACTCGCATGACGTGAAGTAAAAAAAAAAAAAAAAAGAACAAAAACGTTGTCTGCTATGATTCGACGGCTGTGCTGATGCTTTGATGTGCTGAAAAGCATAGAAACAGTAGAAGCTTGAGGCTTGGCCACATAAGTATGTCGAACTGGACCAATAAAATATATACCTCCCCAAGCAATTAAAGTGTAAGGTAACAAAAAAAAAAAGAGCGGAAAAAGGAAAAAAAATGAGCCACCATCTTTGCCTCGATTGATATCTAGAGTGTTAGGCTTGTTCGCAGCGAAAGATATTCAGGTCGGACCGGCGGGGAAATCCCCCAGTCCGTCGGCGTGTAGAGTGCTCTACATAATGCGGTACTTTAAACCTGACTATGTACCTTAATTCTCGAGCAATTTCTGGGGGTGGTAGGCAACGCTGTTGTTAATCATGGTTCCGTATCACAAAGCCGCTCGTCAATCGTTGTGGCAAGCATTGGATCCCCGTTGACATTGGACAAGGTACTAGGTACTTGTAGATCATCCCGACAAAAATCTGGAGTCAACCTGGACCCTGCTCAGCTTCAAAACCGGACCGGAAGCTCAAAATTTTTCCGTGTTTGAAGGCTTTTTTTTTCCTCCCGGAAAAACATACGGGTGCTCCTGCTCCCCGTCATCACGCATGGATCATGACGAGGTGACGACGGCCCCTTCTGAGATCAACCACAGTGCACAGAAATATCAATCAGGACCTCCATGTAAGATCTTCGGATCCACGGAAGGTCTCGGTTAGATGTTTTTCGAACAACAACGAGCCCATGCGCGATCCAACCGTACCAAACGCTTAGGCCGATTAAATGCTTGCCGAGACTCGAATGCTCAGCCTGCACGTTACCGGATTGTGTAGACCAGTGTTGTCGAGCTGTAGATCTCTTCATTGGTTGGTTACCCACAAAGAAATTAGAACACGACGAAGCGAGGCTGCTCAATTGGTTGATGCCGATTTACCAGTTGATCACTTGGGCTGGTTGTACATCAGTAGGAGCAGCGTACAAGTACGATACCTACTTTGTCAGTCGATCATGGAAGCTCTGTTCAGGCCGCCGGACGGGCTTTTGGAGGGGGGTAAGTCACGCGTCATTGTTACTCTAGGTGTTTCATGATTTCCGTGCATTTCAAATTGTTGAATTTGATGGCGTCTGCAGAGGAACATTCCCCAGAAGACCAGGCTTCTGTAGGGTGAGGTGGTGGTGCACAGAAGCAAACCCGTAGAGTAGGTAGCTGATTGACTTCATGTAGGTAACGTATGTGTATGTAGAGCATGTAGGGTATTCTACATAGGTAGTTTTCTCCACCGCAAGTTAGCTATGGGAGGGGGATAGACAATTGAACACCGAAGATATGCGGAGGGGTCGAGTGATAGATGACAGGTTTCAGGTAGAGTAAGAGCAAAGAGCTCGGGGTGGAGAGTAATCGATGGCTGGGACCTCCTGAGTGATGAGATATACCCAATTGGAGAGCTCCATGATACCAGAGTGATAACCTATGATACGGGAGAGCTACTCGCTACCCTACCGGGACTTGAACTACGCCAAGGATGAGACATTCGCGGCGCCACAGCAGTCGCGTCTCCCCAACGTCAGGTCATCGTCTACCGTGTAAAGTGCCTACGGTGACTGCGCGTAGCCCGTCCAATTCACCTCCTATCTGCCCCTCGTTCACCACCATCGATATCTGGGTCAGCCAGAAACACAACGATCTCTTCATACCCCCTCCCTGCCAGTAGCCAAAGATGCCGTCCGCTCCCAACTCAAAGCGCGTCAAGGTACCCTCTAGATTTTCAGATATTCGTCGCCGGGTTCGATTTCTTTTGTTCTTTTCTTTACTTCCCCTCCCCTCCCCTCTCCCCCACGGCTCCCCTCCCCTCCCTCTCCCCCACGGCTCCCCCCCCCCCCTTCCCCTCTCCTCATACGATACGTGCCCCATAAGCAAGCACACATTCTCACTGATTGTGCGCGGGGAATTTCCCTGCAGCTTTAGATGTAATTTAGGGGGTCTCTATCTATCGCCCATTTGGTACATACTCAATAAAGATCTATAAACCTTGCGTTACCTTTTACTCATGACCGGCCCGTTAACATACATGTGATTTCCCACCAGTCTATGGCTCCATCGCAACCCCCGTGAACCCGGACAAGAAGCCGCCGAACCTCCCGCCGGACCACACGCACCAATGGACCGTCTCCGTCAGGGGCGTCGGCGAGAACGATATATCGCACTTTATCAAAAAGGTGCAGTTCAAGCTTCACGACACCTATGCCAATCCCCTCCGGAGTCAGTAGTTCACCAGCGCTCTCTTTTTCTTTTCCCTTATCCCTCATCTGCGTGCAATTATGCTGACACAGCAGCATACACTCCAGTGATCGAATCCCCACCCTTCGAGGTATCCGAAACCGGTTGGGGAGAGTTCGAGATCCAGATCAAGATCTTCTTCGTCCCGGAATGCACGGAAAAGGCGCAAACGCTCTTCCACTTCCTCAAGCTGCACCCATACATCGGCGACAAGGCCGAGCTCGAGCTTTCCAGGACGCAGCGCAGGCCCGTTCAGGCCTTCATCTACGATGAGATTATCTTCAACGAGCCGACAGAGGCCATGTACGACCTCCTAACAAGCCGCGGCTCAGCACTGATCCCGCCCCGGGCTCGAAATGGAAGGGGATGGGAGTTCACGGAGGAGTCAGAGGCCAACGAGCTGGATCGCCTGACGGAGGGTATCAAGGTCGTCCAGGAGCATACCAAGAAGGCGAAGGAGACACTTCTGGAGAAGGAGCGGCAGGTGGCGCAAATCAAAGCGCAGTTGGAAAAGAAATGATTTTCTGTCTGCCTGGTCTTTCTTCTTGTCTTGCGTATTTTTTTGTAGCAAAAGCCTGTTATCGTTACCGCTATCGCTATCGTCCCTGATTTTGCTTCTGGTTTTTTGGTTTCTTGATTTTTTTGCTCTCGTCTCTTCTGATGTTCAGAATGATTTACAATTAATTTTCCACCTCGGGGAAACGAGATGAGGTCTTAAGGAAAAACAAAAACAAGTTCCCGAGAAGGAGTGGAAACGAGTTTTAATAGTTGGTGGGTGTGGTGCATCGCAGTTACTATTTCAGGGCGATAGTCCAATTTGTATTACTACCATGAGATAAGAGCTCGACCCAAGGCGGTTATTCATCTCAGTTTCTGCCCTACATACCACATGTTACCCTCGCCCAGGCAGATCGAAACGTCAGAAAAGAACAAGAAGGGGCAGGCAGGTCAAGACATCCCAAAAAAGGAACGAATATCCACAACCAGACCGCACCCAGAAGCTTTTTAAGCCTCACACCACATCCCCGTATCTGAATAAGAAAAATAAAATAACAAAAAGCAATTCCAATTTTTTTTTTTTATGTACGGAAAAGATAAGATATACATGTTTTTTTTTTTTTTTTCCCTTTCCTCCAGGCACGGGCCCGAGTCCATCTGGTTCGCCGGAAAACTATTCGGCCTTGGTCCTCAATTGAACACCATGCCATCCTTTGATTTCCTCACTCAGGACCTCCTGGACCAGCCTATGCTGCTTTACCACGGGTAGACCCTTAAAACTCCGCGACGCGATCTCGATGGCATACATTGAGCCGCAGCCGCCGGAAACATCTTGAACCTATATAAGTGGGGTCTTAACGTTTTACGTAAATGATAATTAGTATTGGGGAGGAGGGAAGGGAATAAGGGGAGTGGGGAGTTATTGTGAAGTTGGTATGGGGTATGAGTGAGTCGGTATCAATGCAATTGCAATTGCACAGAGAGTGGAATGATGATGAATGTGGTGTGGGATGGTATGGTACGGTATGCTTTGTGCGAGCGAGAGAGACAGGAAATCAACCAATATCTGATATCCTACGCACCTCTAGCCTGGAAGGTGACAATTCTGTTACGAGCTTATTGAAGATGTGCAGCTCCTTTGGATCGAGATGATCCGGGGGGGCCAGAGCGGGAGATCTGGACGCCGATGTCGTGGAGAAGGAGGAAGAACGCGGGGATTGCGGGGATGCTGCCCCTTCTCTTGCTAAGATTCCGGCTGGTCCTGTTCCCACATTCCGATTGTTGAGTGAGAGGAGAAGGTGTTGCTGAAGTCGATGATGATGCTGCTGTTGTGTGCTGTTAAACAAGGGCCGTGCGTAGGAAAAGTTCCTGACAGTGGCAGAAGAGGGACGGCGGAACATGGCGTAGGTGATAAGGGAGGGGTGTGGTGGTTGTAGTTGAGGGGTGGTGGGTAGGGTAGGGGTGGGCGACAGTTACGGTTGTGGTGATTATGGGTGGTGGTGGTGGTAAACCCTTCCACTTCCTCGGCCTCCCACCAGACTACATACTTCCAGCAGCCCTCACTCCCCTCAATCAATCGCTCTCCCAGCCAATCCGTGCACGAAGCCAGACACGCACATACATACATACACATACACACACTGTACCTACAACTATACATACACTTACGCACATATGCACACTTCAGGAGCATGAATTGGGAGAGGTGTGGTTACAGTACAGTGCTCACTCAGTCAGACAATCACTCAATCGTTAATCTATCTACATGTATGTAGATAGACACTCGTAGTACTTGTGGTACTTCTGGTACTGGAGAGAGTTTGTGTGGTGGTGGTGTGGTGTGGTGTGTGCGTACCATGGTGGGGTCGAGGGGAAGCAGGGCAGTACACTATTCCTCTCTGGTACATACGAGTACTCTACATCCCTGCCAGTGTGCTCACACTCGACCTTCTCGCTCTCGGCGTCGGAGAAACAATTAATACAACGGCAACACGGAAGGACCCCGTGGTCGGGGAAACTACATGTAGGTAACTAATATACACCGTAACTCAAAGAGAGGATCCACTGGGACGAAATGAAATACTAGATAGCGTGCATATGCCATACCTACATACGTCCTACATGGATGAGTGACATGGAAAAATTCAAAGGGGCGTAGAGTGCAATACTGTGAGTAGGATACTGTAGCATAACTCTCATATTTCTAGACAAAAAAGAGTACTTACATAAATGTACTCGTATGCCCTACTTTACTCTACAGTTCAGTTGCACTGCACTGCACTGTGCAGTACGAGTATGCTAAAAAGTATACTTTAGCATATGTCGAAGCTAATGCCGATGCTAATGCGAATGCCATGTACCGTAAGTCTTCTGTTTCCTTTTCTTGTTCTCTACATACCGGTGGTACACACCTACATCACTCACCCTACTAGTAGTAATAGCCTACCTAAGCAAATATGTACCTACTTCTCACCTCCATCTGCATACCGAACCTTGAGTGGATCTGTCAATCAACCAGTCAATCAACCACGCAAATCAACCACTTAACTAACCCGCCACCCCATTCTGCGTCTCTCCCGGTATATATAATTAATATTAGGATAGCAGTAATAATAATAAGACGTACAATCTATACCAACCTCTACTATTACTATTATCCACACCCACCATTAACTACTACCACCACCACCACCAACTAACACCCCCCTCCAATCTAGACCCCTACCAACTAACGCACGGAAAAACACGACAGCTGAAACCTGACTGATTGACTGACTGACATGCTAGGCTATGTAGACACCAAAAGGCGAATAAAAACCAAACGGGCTAACTGTGCGACTGCCCCGTCGAAATCTTGCTCGCCGGTCCCTCCCCCCCCCCCCCCCCCCCCAAATGCCTTCCCCGCAAATGGCGTAAGTGGTGAAAGTGCGAGTGAGAAAAGGAGGATGGCAAGCAAGCGAGATTACTACTCGTATTTTCCTGACGTTTGTGGACGCGACTGATATTGCATGCCATGCAAAAATACGCCAAGCTCATGATTTTGGGTGTATGCAATAATGGCCCAGTTCAAAAACGTCAGGAAGATACTAGTACATACTTGCTTACCCCAGTACCTTGAAGGGCCCAGCAGCATGTCTAGCTGGATCTCCAAAGTGCAGAATGAAACCAAGGCGGAATCGAGTATCATAACTTGCAGTGTTGTCTGTTCTGGGCACCCATCATCCCTGGCCCTTGATAGAGATACCCGACAAACAAAACAGAATCGATATTCGTCACGCATCACCCGATTGTAGTACTGGCGATTACTGTTGCTATGTCTACTCATGTAGCCATGTTGCTGTAACCAGAAAAAGGTGCTCGTAATGTTTGAGGTATTCTAACAGAACGATTCAGTCACTGAATATTAGTTACTACATACTTGCAGCTGCTTTGGCCTAGCAAGTATGCTCTGTTCAGTCATTCATAAATCTTTCATTCCTTCGCTATTATAACGCTTTGGTGTGGTGCCACTGTACTGCCCAGCGAAATCAATCAGTTCATCTTATCCGCCGCCTTGAAATCCTCACGCCATCACTGCTTCCCTCGATCTCACCCTCAACCACTCTCCTCACCAATTTACCCAGCCTGTCGGGCGAAACATCTCCTTCAGTGAAAAGGAACATGAAGATATTAAGAAGGGGGTTGCCCGGAATTACGAGCGCAGCCGGCATAAACACACTAGACTCCTTTTCCTTTACCGTGATATATTCACAAAATAGTAACGGTTATGTGAGTATTTTATTCGCCAAAGAATATGTATGTAGTTATGCCTTAAATCGATAAGAATCCCATTTGAAACCGTTATAGGAAAAAACCCGTGCCAATTTGAAGTGACAAGACAAAAAAAAACCTGGTGTTCTCATTTTTTTGTTTCCCCACCCAACCCCACCCCCTCCCAATTCCCAACCCCCATTCAACCAGCTAAAAACTAAGAGAAAGAAAAAAAAGAACCCGAATCCCCGATAGAGAAAGGAGAGCCCATAGGAAACAAGAACAAAGAAAGCAATCGCAAAAACACGTAAAGCATAAGCAAGCATAGACAACATAAACAAGCAAGAGTTAATAGAACGCAATCAAACGCACGCTCTAATGATAAAACAACTTTGGCGGAACCCCCCCCCCAGTAATGAAACAAACGGAGTATGAACTGACAAATGAAAGTTGGAGGGGTTAAAAGTGAAGGTGCGAAGATAAGTATCCTGCCCCAATGCCGCATTAAAACGGCTCCCATTTTTCGAACGCTCGAGCAATGCTAAGTCCAGAAATCCTGCGACCGCTGAAAACAAAAAAACAAAATCCTAAAGTGCCCACGCAAAAATGAGAACGAAAAAGATAAAAGGAAAAAAGATACTAGAAACACAAAGCCCCTTCTTCTTCCTGACAGGAATTCGTAAGTCATCGAATGTTTCCGTCACCCGAAGATGAGAGCAAAAGTAGAAGAGAATAAAAAACACTGCGTGAATCAGAAGCCAAACAGTCAACACCAAAGAGAAATAATGCAAAAGGAAAAAGGAAAAAAGAAAAAAGATCTCGAGCGATTTAACGCCTTGCGAGTGTATAGTCCCATGAGCCATAAAGAATTCGCATCCTTCTCACTCCCAATAACCGTCCATGTATCCCTTTTGTGCGCAGAATGGTCCGCCAAAGTCGGTCCAGGTCTGGCGGATAAAAAAAATCCACTATCCTTCGTGCGATGCCAATACCCCCCCCTCAATCCTCAACCTGTACCCAAACCAAATAAAGAAATCCGAATATCGTCCTCCATCCAAGTTGAAATGAAACTCAAGTGAATTTAGCTCCCCGTCCCTTTTTAGTTCCACCCGGTTGGTCAACGACATATTCAACAAATAGCAGTAGGTGCTTGCTGAGCATCAAATCTGAATGCTCCGGAAGCTCTCCTGCGATGGTGATATCCCGCATAGTTCAATGGTATCGGAGACGCGGTACCTGATGAAGTCCTCAAAAACGAACTGGCTGGCGAGCCTTCCAAAGGAGAGGGTGTATATCTGGGGTTTAGATCAGACTCCTTCACGATCCTTGGCTCCGCTGTAGTACTAAAGATGGCCCCAGAGAAAAGGCTCTGGTTTCCCGGTGCCGAATCCTGAGACTTTTTTTCCCCAACCTCACTATCTGACATCTGCGGTGATGCCTTTGCTGATCCAAACTAAAAATCTATTAGTGTGACGAAGGTTAAGATTTTTATCGGTAATACTTACGAAACAGTAGTTGTCAAGAAGCTCGCGATATGATGATGACTCAATTGAAGGCTTCTCTCCAACAAATGCGCTCGGCTGAAACACCTCAGGTGCACCGGCCCCGACAGTGGTTGGGCTCTCGATTGGAGTCGAGGTATTCTTATCGGGTGATGCATTCCTCAGGGCACGAGCTGCAACAACGGGAGTCTTCGCGATGCGGGCTTCCGGAACTCTGGGCTCGGTAACCTCAAGGACGGCACTTCCAAACTTGAAGTATGGGCTCTCTTGTGAGTTCTTATCAGACTTCTCAGTCTTGATTCCCAACCCACTCCGCTTAGGACCGACGACCAGATTGGCGGCCTTGATAGCGGCGTTCAAAGAAGCACCAAAGTCATAACGGTTACCGAAAGCGTTGCCAGACGGATTTGCTCGACGTGCTAGCGACTCAGTGGTATCGGTAATGCTTTCAAGTGACTTCTTTGGAAGTAGGGGAATCGGAGTGTCATCTGAATCCTTCGAGAAGAAAGAACCATCATAGCCTTCAAGCTCGTCAAAGTTGGGCATCGACTTGGGTCGAGGGGCGTTCGAGGGCTTGGACCGAGGCAGGGCGACTCTGGCACCACCGTTCTTTCCATTTTGGGGCTTTGCCTTCTTGCTAAAGTTGACCTGGAAGTTAATGCCATTGTTGTTGTCCCAAAATTCTTGGCCGGCAACGTTATACCGCACACAGAATAATAGAAGCTTGCGTTCCAAGTTGACCTGATCAACAAGTTTGATGTTGAAGATGAATCGGTCGACACCTTCCTCCCTTTTCTTCTTCCTGACGTCACTGTTGAACTCCGCAATAACCTCCGAAACTGTCTCCCAATGATCTAAAGTAAACCGAACGACGACAGACTTCTGAAAGGACATGTTGTTGACAGCCACCGTACCGATCAGGTTCTTGTTATCGTTGGATAGGCATACTCTCTCCACTCTGACAGGCAGGTTCTTTCGTGCATCCATATCCTTAGGGAAGTTTGGTAGGTTAATCTCCCACTCAAAAGGCGGTTCCCGAGATCGGAAAGCCTCCTCGTGAGGAAATGGGAATTCTCTTTCGCCATCAAAGGATTCTACTGGTGATGATCCAGCACTGACAGCCGAAGGCTTCTCCTGGTGTAAGAAATGCCTGACGTGCTCAAGGTGAGCATCGAAATGCACAGCCTTAGGGAAGGTCGGGGTCGATGGCATAGATACTGGCCGTGATCGGTTTGGCGTTTTCAGTGACGACTTGACAACTTCGCCGCTCTTCTTACGTACCATGGGTGGTGCCATCCGGTAGCCATCGTCCTCGTAATCGCTATCACTGTTTGAGTCCGGTCTGAGACCGTAATCGTTCAGTAATGTCGACTCCGAGATCGACCTCTGGTGTCTTCCACGCTTGCTCTCCCCGTCTGAAGGTGACATTGGCTTTATTGAAGAATCCGGTGACGGTGCCCGTCGTTGAGGGATGTTCTTGATTGCCTCCTTCAGCTGCTCCTCAAGGTTTCCAAGGTTGCGACCTCTCCTCTTACCACGGCCCATGACATCGTCCTCATCGCTTGAGTTCTGAGAAGAATCTGGAGGTGACAAGACAGCTCCTGTAGGAATCAATAGACCGTTGTCTATTGGCGGCGGTGTCTGGTGAATGCTGTTGGCGGTTCGGGAGTTGACGTTCCTGTGGTGTAGTGTTGACCTTTCTGGGTGCCCGTTTGAAGGAGGAGGTGAACCTAATGTGGCATTCATCTGAGGAGTCCGTCGGTGCTGGTGCTTGTGTAGGTATGTAGCTGACTTTGGAGGGTTACTTGAGTTCAACAGGGTCGTTGTTGTGGTGTATGATGATGATGAGGTGACATCGTGGATTGATATCGAAGAGGACCTGCTGGCGATGGGGGAGGTGCAGGGAGACTGGCTGGGGGGTGTGTATGGCATTCGTACAACTGTTGTATGAACCTTTCCTAGTTGAAGGGATATATGGTACTAGTAGTCCGTGAGGATGAGGGGGGACTCGAGGTATATGTAGTAGTGTAGGTGGGTTGCCAGGAAATTCGTCGAGAAGTTTCGTCTGGACTGTATTGTCGTAGACAATAAAAAGGGCGAGACCGTTTTTTTATGGGGGAGAAAAAATTATGAGAGAGAGAAAAAAAAGAAAAAAACTCTTGAACAGGGAAATATTAGAAGTTATAAGCCTGAACGCAACTCTCTCAGTCTATAGTCAGCGCACGGCCAGCAATGACAACTGCGGGGAAATGTGAGTGGATAATTGGGTACATGAAGGAGGGTGATATAAAACAACTGGCTGGATCGAAGTAAGTACTCACGCACTGATGATGCAAGCCGGCGTCGACTGCCGGAAGGGAGGCGATATCAAATCCGAGAGCGATCGAGATTCCGGGCCTACTATGGCTCACGGAAAATCTACGTATCTAGGTAGATGAGATGCACACTCCGATGAGAGGAACAGGTCGTGGTGAAGTAAATCGTCACGACTTTGAGACCGTTCAGTTTTAGTTGAACGGGATTTTGGGAGGGAGGAGAGGTGGGAGAAGTGGCGGATATATTTTGATAATGGAGGGTGAGAGAAGAGGGGGGGGGGTGGGAGAGAGATAATGGGATCACTCTTTTGGGGGCTCTGCACAGAGAAACTGGAGAGCAGAGCAATTGGAGGGGAGGACCAGAGGATATGTAGTTGGCGAGCTAGGGCCTTTCACGGGAGAGAGATACAGTATTGTAGTTATGGGTGGGTAAGGTATGGCAAGGCAAGGAAGGACTGGGAAGACTAGGGACGACCAGGTAGGCAGGGCAGGGGTGTGGGCGGGAGAGAATTGGCCAGGATAGAATACACACAGAAAGAGAGAGAGGCTAAGATAGATAGGACTTTCTACCTCGTTCTCTCTTGTTTTGGAGGGGGACAAGAAACGAGAATAGGTAGAATAATAGATACAAGGAAGGAAGGAAGAGCAGATAGAAAGTCCCTAAAGAAAAGGGAAACTCAGGCGAGTAGAATTCCAAAGAGGAAAGAAAAGAAAAAATGGTATCAAAAATACCTAAAGTAGGGATATAAAAAAGGAAAGAAAAAGAAAGAAAAGGGCCGTTCGCCGCGGTTCATGATGGGAGCAGCATGGCCCCGGACACGGATGGGTAAGCCTCCCTCGCCATTTACAGCTGGCTCTGCTTCTTGCTGCTTGCTGCTGCTGTTGTTGATGGATGTGTGGTTGTCCTGCTTCTTACTTTACTGTGCATCAGAGACCGTATGTAGCTTTCTTGGACAGCCCACACCATACCTTACTACCTTACCCAGACCTTACAACCTCCCACACCACTCACTTACGGCCACCCCCCCAAAACCCAATCCAAATCCCTCCCCCAGCAGTAAATCCACGTTGCCAGTAAGTTGCTGGCTGCTCTAGCTCCACTCTCAACGAGGAACGTCGCCGCCGTCGTCGCTCACTGATCTGCTGTGTTCCCAACACTTCCCTAATTTTGTATCAGTATTCTCCTACTTCTATCTAGCTGCTTGTTTGAAACTACTAATGATATTCATGGTCTATTATTACTATTGTCGTTTCGTCTTGGCTCTCCTCCTCCGCTACAACCCCCCCCCCCCTTTCCCTCCCAATCATCCCGGTCCTTCTCTTTGTCTTGAGATATAACATGCTTTACGTCGTACCTTAGACATGCCCACCAAAAAAAAACTCTCTGCCCTAAACTTTATTACCGTCGAGCGCAATCTGGCTTCAATCCCGAGATTCAAGACCAAGCTTCTTAGAACTGGAATGAAATTATCTCAATACCGGTTCGCCAGATCCAACCTGAGTGACAGCATGTGTAAAAAAAAAAAAAAAAAACAAGCCCCACCCACACGCCTGTCTGCCCCTTTGCCCCCTTTGCTTCCGCTAACTAGGTAGTGTACCTACCGTCATATCCGTTTCCGTATCTTTCCTTCAAATTCATATCTCCCCCACCCACACTTTCAAAATTTCCTTTGAGCCCAGCTACGCGATGGACTGAAGAGAGAAATTATTATCTAAATTCCCTATTCCCCTGTGTATGGCAATTCGAGATGGAGGGTAAGAGAGTTACAGCAAGGATCATATGTGCCGTATCCATGTAAACGGTCGTTGTGTTGTGTGTGTGTCTTTTTTTCTTTCTTTCCGTTCCTCTCAATTCACATCTCAACCTCGCCTGTCGCCAGCCACACTTGCTTTGCAATTGTTCTGAGCCAGGCGAAAAGATCATCGCCTTCCCCTACCTACCACACCACCTCGCCCTTCAATCTTGCTTCCAAGGAAAGCCTACTGCATGCAGGCAGTCGATGCGCAGGTGAGACACATGCCAGAAGCGCTTTATCTTTTTCCCACGAGTTTTTTTTTTTAATGGTGGTGGCCCCATGTGTCTCTCTATTTCGCTCTCTCATTCTCACTCAATTCAAATCTCGCTATTTTCATAATGCTCATAACCGTGCCATTTCCCTATCTGATGGCCGCTTTGGTCCTGATTGGTTCCCTGGAATTCCTGATGCCTGTACCTCTGCGGTAGCGGTAGCGGTTGCGGTTACAGATTGAAAATCTTCTGGTAACAGTAAATTTCGGTTTCAGTCTCTTTCACCTGGGCCCTAGAAGTAGAACATGCTGCACCGTAGGAGTACGAAGGAGGCGTGCATAGGCTGCTCTATGAGAGGTCAATGCGTCTGTTGTTTCTACTGCGCACAATGGCCTCCCGCCGTTTCGCGGAAGCAGTAGGATGGCCGTCGTCGTGATAGAGAATGCACACTCCGATATGGGTCTAAAAACGGGCTCATCGAGCCGGCCTGAATCCGGAAAAATTACCTACATACATACTCTTTTCCCTAAGTATTTTTAAATTTCTCTGGTTGGATGGCTATTTCATTTCGGTCCCTTTTTTTTCCCCCTTCTTTTCTTTTTTTTGCTTTTCGACCTTACCCTTCCTCATCGCTAGCCAGAAAGGCACAGGATATCGAAAGCGTAAATCATTGACATCTCGCCCAATCACGGAACAGAGGAATACGCATTTTCTACTTTTGCGACTTCGATTTCCACAAAGGAATAGGTGCTTGCGCTCAAGGAGGCAACCCGGTAGGGGCGTTAGGCGATGATAGAGGCGGAGAAGGAAAGAAAGTTCGCTGAAGCAATGAGCTGAAGGGTTTGAATTCGAATTGTCCTGATCAATCGCAAGAGTCGGTCGTCTTGAGAATATCTAATGTCGTCTGTCGCCCGTTTCCGGAGCAATCACCATCCGTATGGGAAATCCCTGGAGCTACATATGGAGTCACCTCTTTTAGTGTGGGCGTGGGGTTTTTGTTCAAGGAATCCTCCGCGGCTGCCCGTAGCACAAAAACCTACTATTGCCTGCCTCACTTTCCCAGCTACTTTTCGCTGCCTGCTTTGCTTGCTTGCTGCTGTTGCTGCTGCGTACTCTACCCTACCCTTACTCTACTGTACCCTACACCACACTCTTCAGTTCAGGGTTGATTGCAGGGGTGACACACATATGAAAGATAGTGAGCAAATGGCAGCCGTTGGTCACTGCGAGACGCCCCATCAGCCATCAGCCGCATACGCATACTCTTACCCATCTCAACACAAGATTTCGCCTTGGAAAACTGAAAATAAGACAGATCTTGATGAGATGGTTTTGGGGGGGGGGGGGTGAGGGGTGACAAACCTTTTTTTTTTTCCTTTCCACAATCTCTCTTGAAATGTTTTATTCTAGCTTCTCTGAGTAGTCTATAATGTACTGTCTCTATTTTTTCTATTATTGGAACGGTCTGATTGGCTGCTGAGTGCAGGGATGTTGATTAGTCAGCACGACACATCAAAGTACTGAGCACTCATGATTGTAGAGGGAGAATTAAATTTTATTTGATACCCATAATTCGACGTACAACTCGCGATCGCGAGTTGGCACACCCCTAGTATGTATGTATGTACTCACATCAGTGAGTACGAGTTTAAATACGGATGCGCTCAATGCCGGGGGCGGAGAACGCACAGCCGTAAGATCGGAGGGAGAGCTGCTGCTGGACACCCACCTGTACATGAGTTGAGTACATACTTCATGTATGTCGTAGGTCGGTGGTATGTAGGTGTATGTATGTATGCCTATCCACCGCCGCTGTACGTACACCGTAATCGACAACCCACAATAAATAATATTGAATTAAAGGTAGTGATGGTAGGGTAGAGTAGGTTTCTCCGGAGACATATTCACCAGCGGTTGCTGCTGCTGTTGCTGCTGCACGACATTTCGGCATGATGGTGGTGTAGGAATAATTAGGTATGTGAATATTAATAATTTCACTGATGAGGTATGCCATGTACTCCAGAATTTCGGCCGAGCCGCGCCAGGGCTTGAATTTCGCAATCAATTAAATAGTGGGATGGGGCCATAGGAGAGGTTAATGTTGCGTCGTCCGTCGGGCTGGGCACGTACGTCTTTGGTCTGTTAATAAGACTGGTAGATCTGTTCTGTCTATGATCCCGGGGGTGGGACTGCAAGAACACGGACCGCGCGGCAACGTCTGAACTGTCTCTGGGCGCGAATTGGAGTTGAAAGGAAGGGGTCGCTGGCTCACGACCGATGACGAAGTGGCAGCGTTCTGATACAAGCAAGCAAGCAAGCAAGCGCATTATTTAGTTGGTTTTACGGATCTGGATTGGTCTGTAGTGGCTAGGCAAGTCTAGTGGGTTAGCCACTACTGGGTACCAATGATCAATTAACCATCAACCAACCAAACCACGATGTGTAACAGTCTGTCAGTACGGGGGGTGCCACAAAGGTGTCGTCGCCCTAGCTACATTTAGACTACTTCTTACTCTTACTTGACTCTACTTGACTCTACACTTCGAGGGTTGCCTCACCGTTCGCTTTCGACCGCTCCCGGTGGCTCCCCTTAGTTGATTTATCCACTA